TTACACTACCATAATACTCACCTCAGTTTATTGTAATTGCTCATTTACTGCCTAGTTCTACTAGTTCACTTTCTCTTTGAGAATAATAATTTTTCCTCCTTCACTTATGTATCCCCTCTGCCTAGCTCTATGACCAACATAAGTTACTAAAAAATATTTGCTGAAATCCAAATTGGGGGACATTCTACAAAATACCTGCCCTGTATGCTTCAAAACAATCAATGATATGAAGTTCAAAGAAAGGCAAAGAACTATTTCAGATTAAAGGAGACTAAAGAGATATAACAACTAAATGTAATGCTTGAGCCTGGACCAGTAAATGAAAGGCAATTAATGGGACAATTGTCCTACTATGACTAAAGACTGTGGATTAGATTTTATTACTAAAACCATGTTAAATTTCCTGACTTTGAGATTGAGCTGAGGTCATGTAAGAGAATGTCTGTTCTTAAGAAATAAATACTGAAGTATCTAAGGGTAAGGGGTATTATATCTGCAGATCATTCTCAAATAGTTCAGAAAACAATATCTATAATATTATATATACAGATATTATATATACACACACAGAATGATAGAATGACAAATAAATGTGGCAAAATGTTAACAATTAGTGAATCTGGGTGAAGAGTACATTTGCAAACTTTCTGTAAGTTTTAAATTATATAAAAATTGCAATCTGCGGTCGACCAAGGGTTGCCTCGCCTAAAAAATAAAAAATAAATTTAAAAAAATTTGTTTTTAAAAAAGTATTTCTTGAATGAATGAAGGACAAAGAGATAACCATAGTTAGAAGGTTTTTATGAAGAAGTTACCAACAGATATGCTAGTAGAACATTCAGAGAAATAGGGATATTATGCCAAGCAGGAAAATATCCAAGCCACTTTAAAATGTAAGTGAGAAATGAGGAAGTGGAGGACAATAAAGATGACTTTGAATTTGGCCAATCTATCTGGATAGGCAGCTGAATACAAGAACAGAAGCCAAAATTAAGGTGCTCAGTGAGGCATTTGAAAGCTAGACAGATAATAGCATCCTCACAGGTAAAACTGTGTCAGTTATTAGAAAGGCTAGAGTTTAGGACCTATCTGACTTAAGTTATTACTTTCTTCCATTCATAAAGTTGTTCTATAAACTATTTTACCTTGTCAATATTTAATGTTAACTTTTAAAGTTGTAAATATAAGAGTATAAGGTCTGCATTTTTACATTACATGTACGCTTAATTCATGTTTATTTTCTGAAAATGGCAAGAACTGAAAGTCACCACTGGCCTTTGTTTTACATGTAACTATGTGAAGATTGTTGTTTTTTGTAGAAAAATATTAAAAATATAAAGAGTTTGTTCGCTAAGTTCTTTTCTTAGATATATAAATACTAAATATTTAACTAAGCATGTAGAGTTTTCTATTTGAGTATTAGGTTGAATTACATTTTAACAAATACAATAATGAAGTGTAATTCTTCCTAAGAGCCTAAATGACCTACTTATAGCATGTATGGCTTCATTATTTAACTCCCTTTTTCATAGGATTGCTATTTATAACCACTTCCCTCAGCCCTAGGGGGACTTAGTAGGATTAATGACTTCTGATTCACTTCGTATTTGAAGATTTTTTTTTCCCTCCATCTTTGCTCAGCTAGTGGAATCCATGATGAATTCTCATCTCCAAGGGGTAAGCTGTTTTTAGTAAAGCCCAGTAGCTGTCTGTGATCCCTTAGAAATAACATCAGTTCCTTTCTTCTCTTGTGTTTGTTTCTTCCAAAATGATAGACTCCATGTAGACATGTTCTTTTATCATGCTTGGGTGCAGTTAAGCATGTAATGGTTTTAGTTTTGTTCTCTTAAGTTATATGTGTAATGACTATCTAGGCTCATATCAGAAAAACAAATAAGCATAATTAGCATTCTACTTGTTTAGCATGAAAATTAGAGACAGAGCCAACTAAAGCTAGAATGAGGAAGCTAAATGATAGAAGAGGATTGGAGGTCATATGAGAAAAGAGATTAGAGACAAAACATTGTTTTTGAGAGAGTAGCATCTAGTAAGAGGACCATATTGGAGGCAGAGAACAGAATTTCATAGATGGATTTTGGGAGATGGGTAATGTGAGTCAAGACTAGGTATAAGGGGTTCTCCCATCTGTGGGTGGTTCAGTGGGATACAGATGAGAAGTTGCAGGATTATACAACTAAGTTGTCAGGTCAAAGAACTTTTAATACCAAATAAATAGGATGCACTTAAAAGAAAACCAAATGAAAAGAAAAATAATAACATAATTGTTCCTCTCACTACATGTATGTGTTCTGTTCATTAGCAAGAAGGTCTTCCAGTCACTGATTTTATATCTTAATTTAAAAAATACTTAAATGTATGTCGTATTCAAATCCTTCCCTTTATTTCTGGGAAAAAAATCAAAAGAGAAAATCTCCATTCTGCTCTACTGAGAAACCACTATCTAATGAGTATATTAGTGCCTGATAAATTCCACAGCAGTATATATTATTATTATATACATAATTATTACCATTTCCTTTTTAAAATGGACATTGTGTTTCCCAAAGAGTAGGATAAAGAGTTATGATTTTGTTTTGAAATATTTTAAAATGAATAGTTTTATTGCAGTTGTGAATCTCCTGAGATTTTTAAGGAGATTGCTTCAAAGGATGTCATTAATCTTCCCTTACAAAGCATGTGTCTGTCAGCAGAATTAGAGAATCACCCAACTAGAGAACAGGTTTCACAATACCCTGAGACCTACTTTGTTCATTAGAGAAGAAAATGGCTTGTTTTAAGTCTAAATTGACATGCCTGCTAATTTCAGCAGTAAAAGCTGTTCATTGTGGTCAGGTTTAATTTAGAGCCTGGTAAAGTTCAGATTAAAGTTGATCAAGTTACTGCTACAACATACTTCTTAAATGAACTTTGTAATCTTAAAAGAAGGCGGGGGGGGGGCAGTATAGCTAACATTGAGTAATGTATCCAGAAGTGAGAAGCAAAAAATAGCCTAGTTGTTTGAGGGCAAATTAATATTAAATCAAAGAAAAACAACGAAGATATTGTTGTTATCTAAAAATGTCCAAGTATCAAAAAACACAAATTTTCATTTACTCAAAGCATACATAATGCATTCGTTCACTACTATATCCATAACTCCTAAAACATTCTAATGAAAGAATGAGTTAGTAAATGAGTTAATTTGTATACTTTGCTTATTATGTGTATTTTGAGTTCTTTGTTAAACTTGAGGGAAAGATTTTACGTTATGTGAGGTTTCCAGGTAAGTCTGTTTTTTTAAAAAATTATCATATGTATTAAACATTTAAGAGTCGGGAATTCCAAAGTACCTTTTCAGTTTGCTGTGTCACAGATGACCAGAGTTGAACATTCTAACCCTGAAAAACAACTTATTTCATAAAAGCCATCTGCTACTGTTTGGTTCCTACATTAAAGTTGGTGCAGTACTCTCTAACTGACTTATGCTACTTACTTCAATAGTTATCTTTAGCAATTTGTTCCATTTTTCAAACACCCTTTTGTGTAAAGAAATCATAAAAGTTAGAAACCTGAAAATTGGATTTTTCTTCTGAGCAATCACAGCTTACAAATGTGAAAAATTTGTTAAAAGTTAGCCCCTCTAAACTTCTAATACAGAGAGGGGAAAATACTCAACATAGATGTGTAATGTTTGGATAAGTTCGTCCCCTTATTTTAATACTACTGAAAGCAATTGGGCTTAAATCACAAGTCCTATCTTCCTACCTCTTCACCAGAGAAATACTACAGAATGATCAAAATTTGGCCTTTCTAAAAACAAAAATACTTAGAAAATCAATAGTCAAAAGACATAGTAGATAACTAATTTTCATAAACATTACTATCTACCACATTTCACCTCTTCACTTTCACCAGCCTCATATGATAGCAGAAAGAACATAGGATTTAAAACCATAAAGAATTCTGGATTGGCTATTAGTGTGGTTATTGGGAGAATAAAAATGAGAAAACATGTGTAAAACATCTGTCATACAGTGGTTATAAACTAATACAAATATTCATTACTCTTCCAAAATTAAAATAAAATGTGCTCAGTTTTAGAATGAGCACAGGGGAGATATTTTTCCCCAAAACTTCTTTATAAATATCACTGAGATTTTGGTCCTTTATGTAGAGAGAGTAAGATGACTGAGACAATAGACAGACACATGAGGGAGAGAGAACTTTCTTAATGATTAACATTGCTACCTATAGATAAGAAATATATTTCTTGGCTTAATTCTTTCTATTGGTGCTCTTATCTAAAGCAGTATTAAATTAAAGTCAGTTGTAATACAGAATATGAATACTAACTTCCATTCTGATGCTTTCCAAACTTGCCTGATCATAAGAATTAAATTTGTTAAAAATGTAGATCCCCAGCCTTCCTCCCTACTAATTCATTCAATTCTTATCAGAGGCAACTTTGGGGAAAGACTGATTTAGCCCATTTACATCATCTTCTCATTTTATAGGTGAGGAATCTCAGGTACAAAGAAATTTAAAAAGTTACATCTCTTAAATCACTTTTTTGCTTTTTTTGTTTCTAAAATATACACCTTAATTTTGACACCACATAGAATGAGATTACAAGTATGAAGAGCTATCTTTCTCTTAAATACATTGCCATAATTCAAAATTACATTTCTTACTTGTGGCACTCATATATTGCATTGAATAAACCCACGTACTCTGGAATGACTCTGTCTAAACTCTTAAATAGTGAAGCAATTCTATAATCAAAAATTTTATTTGAAATATTTTGGTATCAAGAATGAAACACATTTCTTGTTAAATTATTCCTCTATAAAGGCTTACGCATTAGAGATTTATATTCAGTAACATCTTTTTTTGTTTCTAAAAGTGCTTTGGTTAGTTTGAAAATCACTTTACTTTGTAGTACATAAAAGGAATGCATGATGCTAAAGAATCTCAGTATTAAGTTATATTTGTTCCTTCAGGCCACACTGCAAGATTTGGAACAGAGACGCCCCCAGTTGGAAGAACTCATTACTGCCGCCCAAAATTTGAAAAATAAGACCAGCAATCAAGAAGCTAGAACAGTCATCACTGATCGAAGTAAGTCTTTTAACAGGCATGTGACACTTAAGGAAAGGTGTATGAAAAGTTTCAATGATGACTTAAGTTTATATACCTCCACTGCATTTATAAAAATAGTGCAAAATAGTTGTAAATCATACCTATTATACTAAGATTTTCGGTCCATAATATTATCTTTCAATAACTGAATGTAATTCCATGGAATAGAGGACATGTAATTTCATCAATCCAGTCTAACATAGTTGCAAAGCATGGAGTGGTGAGAGTGGTAAATATGATGTGACAGAACATTTGCTCCTCAGTTGTCATCTATCTGGGCTGGCATCCATGAAGATGCCAGTCTCTCCTTCATATTCTTGGTTGTCGGTCCAAGCAAGCAGTTGCTTCTTGGACCATCTTTTATTTCCATCTGCAGTGACACTCTCAGATCTGGATGTCTCTCTACTACTTTGATGCCCTCATTGTGTAGTATCAGAAATTAGTTTACCATTCCTTATGCCATACTGGGATGGGTGGGAACTTTGGGAGGCTGTTAAGTCCCATCTGCCTAGACATTGCACGTGCTCTTTTGCAATCTTGATTCAGGCTGACTGTGCTTGGGGTCAGGAAGAAGGGTAGAGGGAGGAATAGGGAATACTGTTCTCCATGGTGTTTCCCTCACAGGCTCTCCTTAGGAATAAGGCCCAGGTCACCTCTGCTCTCAAATTCTCTTGGATTTCCCTGGATTTCTTCCCTTTATATACACATTGATAGTGAATTTCTGTACTTCCCCTGTAGTGCCCCCTCATTTCTCTTCCCACAACCAGAAGAATCTTTTCTAGTGTAAGAGTAGGGAAAACATTCTTTTAATTGTCTTTTTTCCTTCTAAATCTTTTGTCTTAGACCGGGCTTAGGCTTTTGACATTCAAAAACTAAGAATCTACATCTTCATAATCTACATTCTGTTGTGTCAGGAAGTGGAAGCAGAATGCCTGGCTACCTCCTAAGTATCAGTCAATATGTGTTGTGTGTGTATGTGTGTGTATAAAATCATTACAAAATCCTGTCTGCTAAATTTCATAATCCCCATTTTATAGACAGAAAACAGTTCCTGAGAAAGGTTAATCAAATTGCTCAAGCTTACAAAATAAGGAAATAACAGAGCTTGGAATTTTCAAATGTCTCTTTCTGGCTTAAAGTCTATGTTCCTTCTAGTTTGTTTACTACTTCCCATCTTGTTTTGTTTTTGTTAATGACCTGAATCACTAGGACTAGGATTAAATACTTTTTCAATCTGTAATTATACATGTTTTTTATTATTTCCTCTTTCAGTTGCAGTGATTATTAATTAAAATAGACTTTTTTTGATTTTGAAATATTGACTCTTTATTGTCGTTCAGTGTATTTAGAAATATGCTAATGTGTTAGTTGGTTTACACTAGCCATGATAACAGGTAAGCTCCCAAATCTTGGTGGCTTTCCACAGTAGAAGTTTATTTTTCATTCTGCTGCAGTCCAAAATAAGCAGTCCTCTATAAAATCATACAGGAACCGAAGCCCCTTCCATCTTTTGCATCCAAAACATCAGAGTCCTATGCATTTAATGGAGATAAGGAATGAATACTGCTCATTGGAATTTATTATGAGGCAGGCCTGGAAGTGGTGCACATTAATTCCATTCATAGTATGTTAGCTGGAATTTGTCACATGGCCACATCTAAGGGCAAGGGAAGCTGGAAAATATTGTCCAGTGTTGAGCCCAGAAAAAAGATAAACTAGTTTGATAAGGAAACAGTGAGTCTCTTCCACAGCTAACTCGGACAGGAAGAATGCACTTAAGCTCTACAGTTCTGTGTAAGTTACAGAATGTCATTTCTATAACCAGCAAGGCAAGAGCAAAATTGCCTTGTAATGATCAACATACATAGTTGTTCAATTGATATAGTAGAGTGTTCCTCCCTCTAACTGGAACCATGAGGCTTCTCCACCAGGTTACAACACAGTGGCCCAAAAAAGTGAATCTTACTGAGTATGAGACTAGATTCTTATTACACAGTTATACAGTTAAGTGATCTGTTTCTTGCCTGAGAAAATGGAAATTTGGCAAAGATGTTTATGCAAATCTGAACATACTAGTATATAGAAATTCATTTGTTATTTTACTAATGAAAAATAGCTTCTACTTTTTCCCCAAGAGGAAAATAACACTAATTTATTTTACAGTAGCCATTCAGTGTTAGCTATATATTTTTCATTATCCCTTGTAATCTTTTTTTTTTTGACATTGACTTTTTTTCATGATCTAGATTAAAATTGAGGGGCTAGAGGACAGGTTTGTATCTTTTCTACTAATAGCCAGTGATTTGAATAGTTCCGTTTTTCTAAGTTTTTGTCTTTTAGGGGTGAATATCTTTATGAATATTTACAGCATAGTGAAAAGTTTCCAATCCGAATGGTCCAAAAAAGCATTTTCTTAAAAACAAGTATCTGTTCGGACATGTCATATTACTTATTAAGAGCCTAAGCTGGAATCTTAGTTCCAAATATGCCTGGAGCCTCTAGTGCTGGTGCCAGGATAATTGTGGAATACTTAAAAAGGAATCGGCTAAATAATAAAAAGTACTCAATAAGTGTATAATACTATATTGATACATTTTTTCCTTTCTTGGTAAATCCCAGTTAATAACTTTGAACAATTGAGGAAATCTATACATAGTTATTACATTCTATCATGAGAAAAGTCCAGCAAAAAGCAACTCCTCTCTACCAGTATTATCCATGCTAATATCTCAAGTGATAGATCTACAAAATACCAATGTGCTTTACTGTATAAAACTATTAACGTGATATCTATTATTGTCAGGTCGATTATATTGATGGACATAATATTGTAATTATCTAGGTGAAAGAATAAGTTTTATTCTAAATGCATTCAAATGAGACATTCTCCCTGATGTTTCTAATGTTCAGACTACTCATTGTCCTTCAGCTCTTTGTTTGCTGAATGGGTCACCCACTGCTGGTCATTTTCTTCTGCAAAAGGGCTAGGTCAGAGGACCAAAAACAGATAAGATAAATAGGATCGAAAATTGCATTCTTGGAGGTTTCTGAATTATGCAAAACTCTTGTTTATGTTCATTACTACTGCAAATCATAGTACTTTGCATAGCAGTGAGGAGGATATGGAAAGAAAGAACTGTTCTCTCTTATTGCTCTCTTCATTCCAAAAATTATATTGGTAAACATGGGTCATCTGACATTTGTATTTGAGAGTCTTGCTTCTGTAGCTTCTGCCTCCATAACCCCCACCATTACCATTTTAAAGATCTATAGCAATAGTGCATATAGGCTTTGAGGTCAAGCTGCCTGGGTTGGCCACTTATTAGCTTTGTGACCCTGTACAGTTAATCTCAATAAACTACCTGATTTCAGTTTCCACCTCTATAAAATATCATTACTTGTATTTACCTCAAGGTTGGGAGAATTAGATAAAATACATGAAGAGCAGTTAGATCCCAGCCATAGTAAGAGCTTAATGATTGTTAAATGTTATTATTTTAATTACAATCTAATTGGGTTGTTTGAATATTTAGTGGGAAAGCATTTAATAAACTCTTTGGTAGATATCTGGTTCTTTCACGAGCACGAAAGAGGAGAGAGAGAGAGAGGCAGGCGGGAGACAGGGAGAGGGAGAGAGGGAGGGAGGGAGGAATGGAGGAAAATTGATTGATTTAAAAGACCAAATGGAGAAGGTTGCTATGGAAAAGACAGAGTAAGGTATATAAATGGAATTAAACAAATATTTAGAAAAGCTTTTGCATGAATGATACTACAAAAAGCAAGGTAATCCGTGTAAGTTATTTCATTTGCAATATTTACTATAAACTTATAAGGTGTAGATATTATTATTCTCATTCTGGAAACAGAATACTGAAGCTCAGAGCTTAAATAATGTGCCTATGGTCCTAGTTAGATGTCACGAAAAGGACTAGGATTTAAACTCATGTCTGCATGATTCTCAAGCCTGAGGTACGTCAAATGGAAAGGGCTAGTCAGTCAAAAACTAAGAAGGAAAAACTCTTGTTCATGTTTATTACTACTGTAAATCATAGTAACATAATACTATATTTAACTATAGTACTATATTTATTTGAGAATTTAAACTATTAAGAGTAACCTCTGTTTCCTATAATCTGGATATAATCTTCGATACTCCCATTTATGGTGTTGTCTTCTATGCATTCAGATGTCTTATTATATGATTGTCTTTTACATGTTTTAGAGATGTACAGGATAATGGACCTCAGTAATCTACTAGCTACACAAACTTTGCCAAGTGGGTTAACTTTTCTAAGCCATGGTTTCCTCATCTGTGATGTGGGGTTAATAATACTTAAGCTGATAGGATGATTATGAAAATAAAATTACATGATGTTTCTAAACTGAAGACCTGGCATATACTAGATGCTTATTAAATGGCACATATCATCATGATGAGATGAATTTGGTACAGGAAACTGGATATGGGAGAATATGAAGGGAGTGAAGTACGTGGCCTTTTACCAGTTAAACCAGGGGAGGAACTTCTGAAACAGAATGCCAAGTCTTAAGAGAGAACTATTTCTTTTTAAAAAATTTTTTTCAGCTAAGGATTTCTCAAATCAGTTTGAAACTCTTTAAGAAATTTATATGCGATATCATATAAATTTTAAGAAAATAAATTCATATCATATTGCTGAAAGAGCTGGTATACAGGGCCATAGGAGGGAAATGTTCTGCTGTGTGAGAATAAAGATCCTCTCACAGGATTTTTTAATTAACTGATAATTTCATAACAGCTTTGTCATCTTGTCATTGATTGCTTCAACCAAATGTATGAAATCCTTCATGGTGAAATAAAAGCTCTTTGTTGTTCTCCACATTTTTATGAAATCTCTATTGCTAATGAAATGCCAGCCAATATCTTCCTCTCAGACATTGCCTATTAGAGAGTTGCTTATTTTAGAATAAATGGAGTCAACCATATAAATTTCTTTCTT